CCACCTCCAAATGGTGAAGAAATTTGGAGGGCAACGTCCACCCACACAGTCTCTCTCTCTCTCTCTCTCTCTCTCACACACACACACACACACACACACACACAAACACACACCATGAGAAAGAAGCAATCTCTAACTTTGCAAAAGGGCAGTTGGTTGCAGATTTTTTTTTCCAGAGTCAGGAAAAGTAAACAATACAGCAGAATCAATTTTAAGGGTCTCTACGGTACTGTGCTGGTTGCTACGTTATCTCAGCATCAGGAAAGTGACTGTCACAAGAGGTGAGGAAGGGGAGAAAAATCTAATTTCTTTTAAGGATGAGTGCCGTTCGCCTTATTATTACTGTGGTGCCTTGTCTTCATCTCCTATTTTCTTTCTTTCATTTTTTCCCTCTTTCTGGCTGAAGGAGAAGAACAACAGGCATTTACTTCTAATGCTTGTGCCATCAACTTTTTATTTCACCTCCCATCTGGCTTGGTTTGCTTCCTTCTCTCTTGCAGATCGTCCTTCTGATTTCTAATTAAAACAGCGTAGTGCATGGGGTTATGATGATCGTTGATTGATTAAACATGCTTGTGATTACTCAGCTACCTCGGAAGGAGATCATCTCCCTTCCATTCGAATTAAGGCAGGAGCGCCTTCTTGCCATACAGCATTTCTCAACGTGTGACAGGAAAAACGTACACTCTAAATATCAGTGGCTCTCAGAAACTCCAAGGTGGGTGGACTTCAATGTCTCCAGCCAGCATGGATCGGAAAGTATCAGGGAAGGAAGGGACTGGACAGCCACTTGTCTGGAATGGTATTGGGCAGAGGTGTCAAACTCATGGTTCCCAGGCCGGATGTGTCACGCACTGACCATGCCCACGCCCGGTTTTGCGAAGGGGAAAAAATTTGCGGTACATCACATGACAACACCGCGACAACGCGAGTTTGACACCCCTGGTATAGGGACTCCTGCTTGAACAGGTGGGGCTGGACTACAAGACCTCCAAGATCCCTTTCAACTCTATAATCCCAAAGGTTGTTTTTTTGTTTTTTTCAAGAGGCAACTGGACTTCCTCATTTTCCTTTGAAGACGTTTCGCTTCTCATCCAAGAAGCTTCTTCAGCTCTGACTGGATGGTTGGGAATGAGAGCTGTAGTGGAGCAGTGGTTAGAATGTGGTACTGCAGGCTACTTCCGCTGACTGCCGGCTGCCTGCAATTTGGCAGTTCAAATCTCACCCAGCTCAAGGTTGACTCAGCCTTCCATCCTTCCGAGGTGGGTAAAACGAGGACCCAGATTGTGGGAAATAGGCTGACTCTGTAAACCATTTAGAGAGGGCTGTAAAGCACTGTACATAAGTCTAAGTGCTATTTATATTCCATTTATATTTATATTCCATTCCTCACCCTTGATTTCTGGAGCCTACATTACCCTCCCCACCACTACCAGTTTGTTGGCAAGCTGAGAAGCGATAACAGTTGCAACAGCATAAGCACACTTCAACCTTGACAGGTATATTCTAATGTCTCTCTGAATCTCTGCCTAACTGATTTTACTCTGACTGAGGACGTTGCTTGGGTGAGCAATGAAATATCTCAGATCAACAAAGGATGGTCCAGTTGCCATAATTCAACCTTTAAACATCTTTGGCCTGGATGATTGAATCTTCATTGACACAGTGGAATGGATTAGTCTCCAGAAGTGGAAGGTGCTCCATCACTGCAGGTTTTTAAAAAGAAATTGGACATCCATTTTATTTGAAATGGTATAAGGTCTCCTGCTTGGACAGGGAATTGGACTAGAAGACCTCCAAGGTCCCTTCCAACTCTATTATTCTGTGTTGTGTAAAGTCAGCTAGATCCTACTGAGGCACACAATGTACGACTTCTTACATATTTCAACTAAATTTGTTCTTCCATCCACTGACTCATTCTGATGGGTAAGGTCTTGGACAGAGGGATATTTTCAGGAAGGCTCTCCAAAACAAAGATGATTGTAAAGTGATGATGCAACCGACGTCCTGCTGTGCAACATGGGTGATGATGGCACGATGGCAACATTGCTTTTTTGACCCTCAACCCACCCACCCATCCGCCATCCCGGATGTGCCTGTGCTAGCACAGCTGCTCCAAAATCTTTCCCACCCCGGTAAAAAGGACAAGCATCCTTTTCACAGTGGAGCCAACCCCAAAAAAAATCACTTTCATAAAACGACCAATGGAAATTGTTTTCAAATCCAAGCTGCCTGGGAGAATAAGATAATACAACAATAAAAAGATAGAGAGAGAAGATAAGGTACTTTAGCCCGGAGCTAGGAACATTATTGCTTTCGCTCTCTTGACACGTCAACTGACAATGCGAGGGATGCGGCAGTAACAATTTTTAATGCAGGAATCCCACAAGGCTCAGAAAAGCTTGGCTTAGGATCTGCATCAGCTGCGCGAGGGAATAAGCCACCACAGGAAGGACAGATAATTGTTCTTGGAAGGCTGATAGGAGAGGGGATGGAAGTTCTTCGGAGCAGATGGCTGGACATTAACCACCGTTGGCGAAAAACAACCTTCCTGCAGCAGAGTTGCCGGCTCAGGAATTCTGGGAATTGAAGTCCACAAGTCGTAAACTTGACCTGCTCTACACTTCCATACATGTAAGGAGGAACTTTGTATCACCGACCTGGGTTTCTCTTTTTGCAAATACAATCCTCGGTTGCATAAACGGAGGCATAGAATCAACATCACGGAAAGTATTAGTACCACTTGATAAAACCTTAGTAAGAACAAACCGGGAGTATTGCATCTAGTTTTGGTCAACACATTACAAAAAAGATGTCGGAAAAAGTGCAAAGAAGAGCAACTAAGAGGATTGAAGGCCTGGAGTCTAAAATATAGGAAGAATGATTGCAGGATTGAAATTTGGCCAGTCTAAAGAAAAGAAGAACTAGGGGTGACATGATAGCAGTATTCTGATATTTGAGGGGCTGCCACAAAAAAAGAGGGGGTTAGTTTATTTTCCAAAGCACCCGAAGGCAGGACAAGAAACAATGGGTGGAAACTAATCAAGGAGAGAAGCAACCTGGAATTAAGTAGACAGTGAGAACAATTAACCAGTGGAACAGCTTGCCACCAGAAGTTATGGGTGCTTCATCACTGGAGTTCTTTAAGAAGAGACTGGACAGCCATCTGTCTGAAATGGTATAGAGGCTTCTGCTTAAGCGGGGTGGGTGGGTGGGTGGACTAGAAGACCTCAAGGTCCCTTCCAGCTCTGTTTTGATTGATTTTGAAATACGGAAGCACACCAAGCCTGAAGAGATGAATAACAGATTTCTTGGCAGGATTGTGCACACCTCCAGACACCTCAAGGCATCCTTCCAACTCTATCATTGCTATTATGCAGTGGTGAGACCATGCACTAAAATTAAAACTATAGGATGTCTGGCTAGGTAATTCTGGGAATTGAAGTCCAGAAGTCTTGATGTTGCCTAGGTTGGACATCCCTGCCTTAGGGAAACAGTGGAGTTAGGACTATGAGAAAATGCTATGAATTGCCATCGGCTCGACTTCCAAAAGGTGCTGCAGATTTTCTTAGAAATAAGGGTTCTCTAAATTCAAGGTGGCTTGTTCTGAAACATTACCTCCCACCTTCAAATGCTGAACAAACTTTAAGGGTAACATCCACCCACATAGTCATACAGACACAGACACAGACACAGACACACACACAGACACACACAGACACACACACACACACACACACACACACACACACACACGAGAAAGAAGTATCGTAATCTCTGACTTAGCAAATATTTTCCCCTTCAGAAACCTGCAGGAAAATTCCAACTGCTTCCCAAAGCCTTGAAATGGATTTCACTGGTTTCCCCCCGTTTGTAAAGCTTGCTTAATTTAATTTTACAGAAGCCCAGATGCAACCTAAACAAAAGTTAATATTTTGTCAATTACGAAGGTTGCTGAATTATATTTTCATGAGTGATCCTCCTGTGCTTCCTTTCCAGGCAATCAATCACGCACAGCATTTGTCACTTTCCAACACCTCATTGTAGCAACTAATTGCTGTGCCACAGCAGACTGAGGATGAGAGGTTTGCAAAAATGGAATATTCCTTCTCATGAAAAAAAGATCCTCTTTACATAGAAATTTGGTCTCTTCAGAGGCAAAAG